ATTGACCACTTTTAGGAAAAACCCCTACATAAACAAACACATGGGCGCAGACATTTTGGACACCCAAAGTTGTGCGGAGGAGAAAATGCTAGCTGGCGCGTGATTGGTCAATAAGAGAAAAGACTTGTTATGTATTTGACAAGTGAAATAAAGTTGATAAAAATCTCATATCAAGACTTGGGTTTCTTTGAGATATATAGGAGTTACAGGTAAAAATTTGAAGGGAGGGGTGCCCTTTGGTTAGAGATTTTCATTTGGTGTCAAACGCACCTTGTTGTAAACAAATGGAAATTGAAAGTAAAAGTGCCGCGTGACGGTATATTTTTTCTGGCATGTTTTGTTTTCCAATATCTCGAACTTTCACGACAAAAAGGCCATTTGTCCGAAATTCAATATATGTATGAGTGACAGGGGCTCAAGTTTGTATGGAAGTCTATGGGAAAACATTTAGTGGTGTTTGTCCTATAGAATAGGTATGTATTTCATGGAAAAACATTGATTACAGCCAAAAAATCAATCAGTTCCTATTTTTTTGGCATTGAGATCATATTTTAGTTAATTTTTACTATTTCTTAAAAAATTAGAGGGTTTGGGTAAATTGAGGCTCACAATGGGGACTGCACATGGTGAAAAAATGCCAAAATTTTTGCCCTAGCTCTCATATTTTCAATAAATGTACATGTAAATAATTTTAAATAAATATTTATGCTGAAATTTACTGTGAATATTGTAAATAATACAATATTGATGTTTATGGGCATCATCAATACACAAAACATATGAATATCCCCCTCGCAGTTTGAGAAATTCATTTAAATCCATGTATTTTATGAGTGAGGACATTGGAACAGATTGACTAATCCTCTTTCAAATTTGTGTAAATCAGAGTTGATTGAATAATTTATAACAAAATTAGACTGCTGTTAAGTAATTAGGTTACTTTGTTTTTATATAAGGGGCCTAATCCAGCAACAAAGCCAATTTTAGTCATGTAATCAGTGCTGGCTTGATATAAAAGTTATACTTTGGGGAAAACTTAGAGATTACTAGTAGGAAATTTAATTTAAATTACTGTAAAATATATTTTAGCAGAAAATACATTGAAAATACAAGAAATTTGCAAAATTATTATTGCAAAAATGATGAAAAAGTGCCTGAATATCCTTCCTCCTTGCCATATCCAATCTTGATATTCTGCAGAAAAGAGGGGGGGGGGGGGTAATTTTGTACTCTAATGATGCTGGAAAATGAAGGAATTTTTTTTAAAATGTGGTTTATTTGAACAACAAGAGTCATGCTTATCTGCAGTTATTTTTTTCAATTTCTTAGATATTTTTTTAAATAATTATCTGAGTAAATTCTATTTAAACATGATTATTTTAAAGCTATTTCATCACTAATGCTTATAAAAAATTCAAAAGATGATGTAAATAATAAAAAATTATAATATAAGCTACTACATGCATTTATCAGTATGTTTTAATAAAATAAAATATATTTCAGCAATGCATTCTCAAGAAGGAAGAGATTAATGAACCCTCCCCTCTTACAATGAACAACACATGGACACTCTCAGGATGGTCCCTTTGCTTTCATTAAGAGTTCCAAGGTATGGTTTTCCTAGCCAATCTAGTTAATCTATGAGTATTTAAGTTATTTAGAACTTTTTATAGATTATTAGAAAATAAATTTCTTCAGAACTGCAGTTATTTAAGCACTTTGCTTACAATTGAGCACTGTATTCAATCAGACAATATGATTTATCTGCCCTTGGCATTTAATCAATTTATTAATTATGTCAATAATAAGAAATGATATGCAAATGAATATCTTTGCCTTTCATGAGAATATACATATTTAACATCAATTACATGAAATGTTCATGGAAATTGGCTAAAATGTAGGTCACCCCCCTTCAAAATTACAAAATTTTCAGTGGGGATGTATTTGATTCTCTGATGCCAGCAACCCACTGCTGATAAATTCTTTTTAATCTTATGTACATTTGAACTACATATAATTCTCTTTCTTTCCATTGATTATTTTATCTACATTAGTTATTACTCTTTCCATAACCCAGCTTTTTCTTACAAAAACCTGCTGATTTTCTTCATTTTTCATTAATAACGGGTACCTGCTACCCTGAATGATTAACATGATCTATCTTGAGAGATTATGAGAGATAATAAGAAAAACAAGCAAAACATATGCTAGATTAATCATTTTATTTGAAAAGTTTGAAAGAAAAATAGAAAATTGCTTCAATTTCTAGACATCTTTTCTGTTTCACAGATGTGTGTCTGATTGACTGGGGTGTGAAATGTAACAGCCAATGGTGTACTTAAGCTAAGACTGTCAGTCCCAATATTCAAGAGGTGAGATAAGCAATGGATATGTGTTCTAAAAATACTAAATTGACCACTTTTTATAAATGTTTCTTTTACTCTATAGGAAAAACCCCTACATAAACAAACACATGGGCGCAGACATTTTGGACACCCAAAGTTGTGCGGAGGAGAAAATGCTAGCTGGCGCGTGATTGGTCAATAAGAGAAAAGACTTGTTATGTATTTGACAAGTGAAATAAAGTTGATAAAAATCTCATATCAAGACTTGGGTTTCTTTGAGATATATAGGAGTTACAGGTAAAAATTTGAAGGGAGGGGTGCCCTTTGGTTAGAGATTTTCATTTGGTGTCAAACGCACCTTGTTGTAAACAAATGGAAATTGAAAGTAAAAGTGCCGCGTGACGGTATATTTTTTCTGGCATGTTTTGTTTTCCAATATCTCGAACTTTCACGACAAAAAGGCCATTTGCCCGAAATTCAATATATGTATGAGTGACCGGGGCTCAAGTTTGTATGGAAGTCTATGGGAAAACATTTAGTGTTGTTTGTCCTATAGAATAGGTATGTATTTCATGGAAAAACATTGATTACAGCCAAAAAATCAATCAGTTCCTATTTTTTGGCATTGAGATCATATTTTAGTTAATTTTTACTATTTCTTAAAAAATTAGAGGGTTTGGGTAAATTGAGGCTCACAATGGGGACTGCACATGGTGAAAAAATGCCAAAATTTTTGCCCTAGCTCTCATATTTTCAATAAATGTACATGTAAATAATTTTAAATAAATATTTATGCTGAAATTTACTGTGAATATTGTAAATAATACAATATTAATATTTATGGGCATCATCAATACACAAAACATATGAATATCCCCCTCGCAGTTTGAGAAATTCATTTAAATCAATGTATTTTATGAGTGAAGATATTGGAACAGATTGACTAATCCTCTTTCAAATTTGTGTAAATCAGAGTTGATTGAATAATTTATAACAAAATTAGACTGCTGTTAAGTAATTAGGTTACTTTGTTTTTATATAAGGGGCCTAATCCAGCAACAAAGGCAATTTCAGTCATGTAATCAGTGCTGGCTTGATATAAAAGTTATACTTTGGGGAAAACTTAGAGATTACTAGTAGGAAATTTAATTTAAATTACTGTAAAATATATTTTAGCAGAAAATACATTGAAAATACAAGAAATTTGCAAAATTATTATTGCAAAAATGATGAAAAAGTGCCTGAATATCCTTCCTCCTTGCCATATCCAATCTTGATATTCTGCAGAAAAGAGGGGGGGGGGGTAATTTTGTACTCTAATGATGCTGGAAAATGAAGGAATTTTTTAAAAATGTGGTTTATTTGAACAACAAGAGTCATGCTTATCTGCAGTTATTTTTTTCAATTTCTTAGATATTTTTTAAATAATTATCTGAGTAAATTCTATTTAAACATGATTATTTTAAAGCTATTTCATCACTAATGCTTATAAAAAATTCAAAAGATGATGTAAATAATAAAAAATTATAATATAAGCTACTACATGCATTTATCAGTATGTTTTAATAAAATAAAATATATTTCAGCAATGCATTCTCAAGAAGGAAGAGATTAATGAACCCTCCCCTCTTACAATGAACAACACATGGACACTCTCAGGATGGTCCCTTTGCTTTCATTAAGAGTTCCAAGGTATGGTTTTCCTAGCCAATCTAGTTAATCTATGAATTTTTAAGTTATTTAGAACTTTTTATAGATTATTAGAAAATAAATTTCTTCAGAACTGCAGTTATTTAAGCACTTTGCTTACAATTGAGCACTGTATTCAATCAGACAATATGATTTATCTGCCCTTGGCATTTAATCAATTTATTAATTATGTCAATAATAAGAAATGATATGCAAATGAATATCTTTGCCTTTCATGAGAATATACATATTTAACATCAATTACATGAAATGTTCATGAAAATTGGCTAAAATGTAGGTCACCCGCCTTGAAAATTACAAAATTTCAGTGGGGATGTATTTGATTCTCTGATGCCAGCAACCCACTTGCTGATAGAATTCTTTTTAATCTTATGTACATTTGAACTACATATAATTCTCTTTCTTTCCATTGATTATTTTATCTACATTAGATTTCACTCTTTCCATAACTCAGCATTTTCTTACAAAAACCTGCTGATTTTCTTCATTTTTCATTAATAACGGGTACCTGCTACCCTGAATGATTAACATGATCTATCTTGAGAGATTATTAGAGATAATAAGAAAAACAAGCAAAACATATGCTAGATTAATCATTTTATTTGAAAAGTTTGAAAGAAAAATAGAAAATTGCTTCAATTTCTAGACATCTTTTCTGTTTCACAGATGTGTGTCTGATTGACTGGGGTGTGAAATGTAACAGCCAATGGTGTACTTAAGCTAAGACTGTCAGTCCCAATATTCAAGAGGTGAGATAAGCAATGGATATGTGTTCTAAATATACTAAATTGACCACTTTTTATAAATGTTTCTTTTACTCTATAGGAAAAACCCCTACATAAACAAACACATGGGCGCAGACATTTTGGACACCCAAAGTTGTGCGGAGGAGAAAATGCTAGCTGGCGCGTGATTGGTCAATAAGAGAAAAGACTTGTTATGTATTTGACAAGTGAAATAAAGTTGATAAAAATCTCATATCAAGACTTGGGTTTCTTTGAGATATATAGGAGTTACAGGTAAAAATTTGAAGGGAGGGGTGCCCTTTGGTTAGAGATTTTCATTTGGTGTCAAACGCACCTTGTTGTAAACAAATGGAAATTGAAAGTAAAAGTGCCGCGTGACGGTATATTTTTTCTGGCATGTTTTGTTTTCCAATATCTCGAACTTTCACGACAAAAAGGCCATTTGCCCAAAATTCAATATATGTATGAGTGACAGGGGCTCAAGTTTGTATGGAAGTCTATGGAAAACATTTAGTGGTGTTTGTCCTATAGAATAGGTATGTATTTCATGGAAAAACATTGATTACAGCAAAAATCAATCAGTTCCTATCTTTTTGGCATTGAGATCATATTTTAGTTAATTTTTACTATTTCTTAAAAAATTAGAGGGTTTGGGTAAATTGAGGCTCACAATGGGGACTGCACATGGTGAAAAAATGCCAAAATTTTTGCCCTAGCTCTCATATTTTCAATAAATGTACATGTAAATAATTTTAAATAAATATTTATGCTGAAATTTACTGTGAATATTGTAAATAATACAATATTGAGGTTTATGGGCATCATCAATACACAAAACATATGAATATCCCCCTCGCAGTTTGAGAAATTCATTTAAATCCATGTATTTTATGAGTGCAGACATTGGAACAGATTGACTAATCCTCTTTCAAATTTGTGTAAATCAGAGTTGATTGAATAATTTATAACAAAATTAGACTGCTGTTAAGTAATTAGGTTACTTTGTTTTTATATAAGGGGCCTAATCCAGCAACAAAGGCAGTTTCAGTCATGTAATCAGTGCTGGCTTGATATAAAAGTTATACTTTGGGGAAAACATTAGAGATTACTAGTAGGAAATTTAATTTAAATTACTGTAAAATATATTTTAGCAGAAAATACATTGAAAATACAAGAAATTTGCAAAATTATTATTGCAAAAATGATGAAAAAGTGCCTGAATATCCTTCCTCCTTGCCATATCCAATCTTGATATTCTGCAGAAAAGAGGGGGGGGGGGGTAATTTTGTACTCTAATGATGCTGGAAAATGAAGGAATTTTTTTTAAAATGTGGTTTATTTGAACAACAAGAGTCATGCTTATCTGCAGTTATTTTTTTCAATTTCTTAGATATTTTTTAAAATAATTATCTGAGTAAATTCTATTTAAACATGATTATTTTAAAGCTATTTCATCACTAATGCTTATAAAAAATTCAAAAGATGATGTAAATAATAAAAAATTATAATATAAGCTACTACATGCATTTATCAGTATGTTTTAATAAAATAAAATATATTTCAGCAATGCATTCTCAAGAAGGAAGAGATTAATGAACCCTCCCCTCTTACAATGAACAACACATGGACACTCTCAGGATGGTCCCTTTGCTTTCATTAAGAGTTCCAAGGTATGGTTTTCCTAGCCAATCTAGTTAATCTATGAATATTTAAGTTATTTAGAACTTTTTATAGATTATTAGAAAATAAATTTCTTCAGAACTGCAGTTATTTAAGCACTTTGCTTACAATTGAGCACTGTATTCAATCAGACAATATGATTTATCTGCCCTTGGCATTTAATCAATTTATTAATTATGTCAATAATAAGAAATGATATGCAAATGAATATCTTTGCCTTTCATGAGAATATACATATTTAACATCAATTACATGAAATGTTCATGAAAATTGGCTAAAATGTAGGTCACCCCCCTTCAAAATTACAAAATTTTCAGTGGGGATGTATTTGATTCTCTGATGCCAGCAACCCACTGCTGATAGAATTCTTTTTAATCTTATGTACATTTGAACTACATATAATTCTCTTTCTTTCCATTGATTATTTTATCTACATTAGATTTCACTCTTTCCATAACTCAGCATTTTCTTACAAAAACCTGCTGATTTTCTTCATTTTTCATTAATAACGGGTACCTGCTACCCTGAATGATTAACATGATCTATCTTGAGAGATTATGAGAGATAATAAGAAAAACAAGCAAAACATATGCTAGATTAATCATTTTATTTGAAAAGTTTGAAAGAAAAATAGAAAATTGCTTCAATTTCTAGACATCTTTTCTGTTTCACAGATGTGTGTCTGATTGACTGGGGTGTGAAATGTAACAGCCAATGGTGTACTTAAGCTAAGACTGTCAGTCCCAATATTCAAGAGGTGAGATAAGCAATGGATATGTGTTCTAAAAATACTAAATTGACCACTTTTTATAAATGTTTCTTTTACTCTATAGGAAAAACCCCTACATAAACAAACACATGGGCGCAGACATTTTGGACACCCAAAGTTGTGCGGAGGAGAAAATGCTAGCTGGCGCGTGATTGGTCAATAAGAGAAAAGACTTGTTATGTATTTGACAAGTGAAATAAAGTTGATAAAAATCTCATATCAAGACTTGGGTTTCTTTGAGATATATAGGAGTTACAGGTAAAAATTTGAAGGGAGGGGTGCCCTTTGGTTAGAGATTTTCATTTGGTGTCAAACGCACCTTGTTGTAAACAAATGGAAATTGAAAGTAAAAGTGCCGCGTGACGGTATATTTTTTCTGGCATGTTTTGTTTTCCAATATCTCGAACTTTCACGACAAAAAGGCCATTTGTCCGAAATTCAATATATGTATGAGTGACAGGGGCTCAAGTTTGTATGGAAGTCTATGGGAAAACATTTAGTGGTGTTTGTCCTATAGAATAGGTATGTATTTCATGGAAAAACATTGATTACAGCCACAAAATCAATCAGTTCCTATCTTTTTGGCATTGAGATTATAGTTTAGTTAATTTTTACTACTTCTTAAAAAAAAAATTAGAGGGTTTGGGTAAATTGAGGCTCACAATGGGGACTGCACATGGTGAAAAAATGCCAAAATTTTTGCCCTAGCTCTCATATTTTCAATAAATGTACATGTAAATAATTTTAAATAAATATTTATGCTGAAATTTACTGTGAATATTGTAAATAATACAATATTGAGGTTTATGGGCATCATCAATACACAAAACATATGAATATCCCCCTCGCAGTTTGAGAAATTCATTTAAATCCATTTATTTTATGAGTGCAGACATTGGAACAGATTGACTAATCCTCTTTCAAATTTGTGTAAATCAGAGTTGATTGAATAATTTATAACAAAATTAGACTGCTGTTAAGTAATTAGGTTACTTTGTTTTTATATAAGGGGCCTAATCCAGCAACAAAGGCAGTTTCAGTCATGTAATCAGTGCTGGCTTGATATAAAAGTTATACTTTGGGGAAAACTTAGAGATTACTAGTAGGAAATTTAATTTAAATTACTGTAAAATATATTTTAGCAGAAAATACATTGAAAATACAAGAAATTTGCAAAATTATTATTGCAAAAATTATGAAAAAGTGCCTGAATATCCTTCCTCCTTGCCATATCCAATCTTGATATTCTGCAGAAAAGAGGGGGGGGGGGTAATTTTGTACTCTAATGATGCTGGAAAATGAAGGAATTTTTTTAAAATGTGGTTTATTTGAACAACAAGAGTCATGCTTATCTGCAGTTATTTTTTTCAATTTCTTAGATATTTTAAAAAATAATTATCTGAGTAAATTCTATTTAAACATGATTATTTTAAAGCTATTTCATCACTAATGCTTATAAAAAATTCAAAAGATGATGTAAATAATAAAAAATTATAATATAAGCTACTACATGCATTTATCAGTATGTTTTAATAAAATAAAATATATTTCAGCAATGCATTCTCAAGAAGGAAGAGATTAATGAACCCTCCCCTCTTACAATGAACAACACATGGACACTCTCAGGATGGTCCCTTTGCTTTCATTAAGAGTTCCAAGGTATGGTTTTCCTAGCCAATCTAGTTAATCTATGAATATTTAAGTTATTTAGAACTTTTTATAGATTATTAGAAAATAAATTTCTTCAGAACTGCAGTTATTTAAGCACTTTGCTTACAATTGAGCACTGTATTCAATCAGACAATATGATTTATCTGCCCTTGGCATTTAATCAATTTATTAATTATGTCAATAATAAGAAATGATATGCAAATGAATATCTTTGCCTTTCATGAGAATATACATATTTAACATCAATTCCATGAAATGTCCATGAAAATTGGCTAAAATGTAGGTCACCCCCCTTCAAAATTACAAAATTTTCAGTGGGGATGTATTTGATTCTCTGATGCCAGCAACCCA